GGACACCCACAGGGGGCGAGCGTTTTAGCCCGCAGCTCCGATCGAGACGATCACAAGGCTACAGGTAGCGATGAGCTTGAATAATCGAAATTGTAATAGGCTAGCTTGGCTTCTACTCATAAAGTAGTAACTTGTGCAGCGAGAAGATGAAAAAGGACTGAACTCGTTGACAACACCGGAACTTATGCCTTCCGGGGTCATACGAGGTCGCACATGACTTTGTTGACATAAATATTCGACCTGCGCATGCGCGAGACAGAAGATATCCAGTGCTAAGCACTGCCTCTGGCGGTCAGTAAGGATGAAATAGAAAGGGCGGCTGTGGCCAATAGGGTGGCTGTGGCGCAATAGGGCGGCTGTGGCGCAATAGGGCTAGGGCGGCTGTGGCGCAATAGGGCAGATGTGTCGCAGTGGACTAGTGTGTTGGTGTTTGGATCAGGGGAGCATATTTCAAACCCCACTGCAGTCAGCATGGCGTTGTGTCCCTGGGCAAGATACTTCACCCCAAATTGGTCCTGTGGGGATTACCCACAGTAAGTCGCTTTGGATAAAAGCGTCTAACAAGTAACATGTAATGTAATGGCTGAAATGTTTACTTTACTTTAATAAATTCTTATTATTTATCAAAAAGTCTAAGGTATTTTACTTCATAAGTGCTCTTTGATGCAGCTCCAGCTTCGATCAACATCGCATTAGGAGGGTGCAGCACTATATATTTTGCATTGAAGCCAGCTCTGAAATGCAGGCCAACATTCCTGTACCATTTCAGACTGGATGTTGTGTTCCAAAGTCTGAATATCTCAGATAATCAACAGGTGTTAAAATCCCAATTAAATTGTTAGTCTAATATGGACAAAGCTCATGCACATTTTAATTGACACCTCAAATATTTTGGCAGGAGTGAACATGCCAGATATCGGTTTATTATTTTCCTTGCTACATCGTCTCTATGTTCTCTATTGTCTCTTATTTTCTTTTCAGCTGATAAGTTTAGTATTGCGTTGTTAAGAAAGAGTTAGCCGCTGACTATCTACACTCCAAAACATTTGAAACGTTGACTTAAATAAATGTATTATGTAACCAGATAACACATAACTGTATTAGGTTAGTTAAAAGCAATTATATTAAGTTTAAATAAAAGACAATAGGTTTTACTTAACTCTATTGCGTTCAACTAATCTAGTACAAATATGTGGAACCAGTTGACATAGGGCAGGAATTTCACGAGGGCCACTTTGGCCTTGTGCCCTTAAAAATGATATCTGCCATAAGGCCACAGTGGCCTTGATGCCCTCTCTGACTAAGTTTTGTGGTTTAGCAGTCTGCCTCTTTTCTGACACGGCTTCAACACCAGCATATTTTGAAGGAGGAAAAAAAATCAGCGGTGCGCTTGATTTGAGCCTGGAATGCACCGCTCGGACGGTCTATGATGACAGTTGACATCAGTCTAGGACCTATCTCCGCCCACCCCCTCACGCGTCCGTGTGCGTAGGACGGTCTAGGACCTAGCTAGCTGATTCTCCGCTCAAGAAAAGGCTGAGGTGAGGTAAGGTTTTGTGATGATCCTGTTTGCCGTTAAGTTTTTCATTTGTCCAGCTTTAAGTGTAATTTTATGGATAACATTACTATTTCTTGCTCGTATGGTAATGCATAATTATAATATTTTGAAGTGTTTTTGTTACTACTTGGATAAGTTATGTTGCAGTTGTGTTCTTTTTTTATTATTATCTAGTGCAGGGGTCGGCAACCCCTGGCACGCGTGCCATCATTGGCACGCGGCAACGTAACCAGTGGCACACTAGGAATAAGTGGAATAAGTTTGCAAAATATTTAAATTAATTTTCGGATCCTGAACGCGAGACCGCCGCCAGAGCGCGTCTCCCCGTTACCTGCAGAAGGAAGCCATGCACGCAACGCAGCCCCGCTCTCCTTATCTCCAGGTGACTTTCTGCCGCTTTCCTCCGTGGTGCAGTGCTCATCGTCTCACCACGGAGGAAAGCACTATCACTAAATTGCAAGTACGCCATAAAGGAGCTGGGTGCCAGTGGCGATCTGCTCATCTCTCATCGAAATAATATGCCACAAAGGCCGGACTGGCCATCCAAGACCCGGAGTCGCTAGTAGGCAGAAGCAACAAGCTTCAGGTTCATACCCCACTTAGCTTAAATGACTGGAGAGCGAGAGGGAGCTGTCTTGAGGAGGACGCTGCGCCATTTATCTTAGGCCTGTTCTTCTGTGTTCCCCCACAAAATACATCACCGATCCTCTGTTTTCTGGCTTTCTCCCGTTTCACTTCCAGAACAATAAACACGTTCCCTCCCTGTCAGCTCTACCCATGCTCACAAACACACCACAAGGACCGCAAACCCCTGCTCTCTCTCCTCTTAAAGGGACAAGCGATCTCCATCTCAACTACTGCATGACCACTACATATCAATAACTGTGTGTTCTGGAGATCACAGAACCGGACCCGAATCGTCTTATTAATCATATGGCGTTAAAACCAATTATTTAAAGTGTGTTTGTTAAGATTCCGGCAATCATGTAAGCTAGGCCTGACAGGTCCACACACTGCCTTCCTTACACGCAGACAGCGACATCCCCGCCCTCCTGACTGAGATTAGTTAGACGGGCGTCAAGCTCATCCACCACACCCTTGATAATTCCGCACGATACGTTAGACATTGGCACACGCTGATAACATTTTTTTTTTTAAATGGCACTTCATATCAAAAAGGTTGCCGACCCCTGATCTAGTGCTAGGCAGTTAGCGCTGTGTTGTTAGCTGTCAAAGATAAGATGATGCTTAATAAATATATATAAAAGTATTGTAAATGCATATACAATCGTAGTCACTTCATATCGTATGTTAAATCATTGTTTTAATTTATGGCCTTGGTGCCCTGGCTTTTGGCCTTTGTGCCCTTAAAAAATTGACAACTCAAAAGGCCAAGTGGCCTTGCCCCTAAAATGACGAAATTCCAGGCCTGGACATAACACAATTTAATTAAAGTCAATGTTTAAGTTCAATGTACTGTCTTACTCAAACATCACCTCTAAAATACATAACAACTCTTGCTATATTTTTCTTCTTTTCTTTTTACCACATTATTAATGAGGTAGCATTGAAATGAATCTACATAATTATAACATTCCCACCATAAAGCTGCCCATTACAACTTCAACTTTTCAATGACAAGGTTAAAATTAAGAAAAACAAAACCTTGATTAAATAATAACAAATGTTCTAAAGCTTAGTTAAAACTACACTATATGTGTATGATAACTAACTAGCAACATTTCAAAACCCTTGCTTTGTTCCTTTTTTCACCTTCATCTTAGACAGTATCATCATTGGTCGGTGTGTCTTTTCCACTTCTACTCATGTCAAACTAAGTGGCCCAATCCTCTTTCTATGAATTGTTTTTGACTTTTGGTTTGAAATATAAAGCCCAGGGTCATGTTGATATTTGTATCTTATTTGAATAAAATCAACACAATATGATCCATTAGGAAGCACTTTGACTTTGATGTAATGTCAATTGCACAATCAGTGTTAAACCTGCTTTCATCAGGCTCATACTCCCAGATGGTAAGGCACACGAGGAGCACAATAGTCGCAGTGTGCTCTGCTCAACATCCCATAATACTTATTGTTTTGTATTGTACCACACACACACACACACACACACACACACACACACACACACACACACACACACACACACACACACACACACACACACACACACACACACACACACACACACATGGGATCTAAAGTATGTGTGGCAGTTATAGCTCAGATTCATAGAAATGGTGGGTTTAACTGAACTGGAAAGTGTTCACAGAACTTGCTAAATAAATGTTAAAGCATGCACATCCTCCAATATTTAGAGAGGTGATATATTAGTGTTTAAATACCATGTCTGGTGAATATTAAAATGTTCTAGTGTTGAAGTTCTAGTCTAAGTTGATATTATTGTATGGGATAAAAGGTTTGAAATGGCTTGGATAAACATCCTGCTCCTTTATTAGGTTCATCGAATAAACGGAATGAATTGATTGCCTCTCATCATAAGTCATCAAACTCTCTCTGAAAAACACTGATGTGTGCTTAGTGTATTTGAACTCGTGGTTAGATTTGCACCGCTTATTGGCTTCCCCAAATAACTAGATGAGAGCAAGTCCAAGTGGAGCACAATGCACAGCAAACAGCAGAGTGTGTGAACAGTCCAGGTGCGGCTCAGGCTTTTGTCGGAGTTTAAAAGGCAGCGATAAGCTGCGACACAGATGGCTTTCCTACATCATCCCCTTTTACTCATTCGTAGATTATTTCCTTTGTAATTTCCCCTATGATAGACCTTTATTTATTTGTGAAAAGTCATCAAACAATAGATATATCACTTTCCTTTAATAGTCATCTTTTGTAATGTGGTAAGGCGAGATGAGAGGAGGAAACAGAGCAGAGAATCTCAATTGTATCAGTTGAGAGAGCGTACAATTGATCCACTACATTGGCAATGATGCATCAGTGGGCCTTTTCACAATGTAATAAATAAAGGGATACAAAAACTGTACATTATAATTGTCTTAAATTCAAGAACTATTTGCAAATATGTTAGATATATTTTAAACATTATTTTGATGTTCAGGGTTATTGTATGGAACAATGGGAGTTCATAATTTATATGTGCTTTAGTATTGCACAATAAACAAGTACACTGATCCATATTTTTCTATTTGGAGGTACAGAGGGATTGATTCAATTATACTGTTGATAATATTATCCTATTAAACTTAATACAGTATAATCTCACAATGATCTGCATAAGGAAATAATTTCCACCAGCAGAGGGTAAATATTTGGTGCAAATGTAGTGATGGGCATTTGTCTGATGGTTCAAATGCGTCACCACTTCAGGGCGTGCTCTTCACAACAGGACCTATATAGTTCTGTGATCTCTGCCACAAGATACACAAAGCATCATTGCAGACAGCTGTTTCGCACAACAAATATAACCAAAAAGCTCTCATCTGAAAATAATAATGCAGCCTGAAGAATACAATCGCAGAGGTAATGCTAGCTTTCATTTCATTGTAATGACATGTTTTGTTGTGATGTTATATCTCACTGAAAATAATGATTAGCAAACAATAGTCAGAATAAAGATGTATTTCACTAGAAGTATCCTTGCAGCTGTTAAAGTGTCTGTTTCTGACCAGGTAAGGAGCTGGTGGACTACATCACACAGTATCTGGGCACCATCAGGGAGAGGAGGGTGATTCCAGATGTGAAGCCGGGCTACATGAGGGAGCTTCTTCCTGATACTGCGCCTGAGGAGCCGGAGGACTGGGAGAGCATCTTCAAGGATATCGAGAAAGTCATCATGCCAGGAGTAAGTTCCTACTGTCAAACATTATCATCAGAAGTCAGAAACGATGTCTCTGAAGCAAGTTCTGTCTCCTCTTCTCCCTCAGGTGGTTCACTGGCAGAGTCCTCATATGCACGCCTACTACCCCAGTCTGACCTCATGGCCCTCCATGCTTGGGGACATGCTGGCCGATGCCATTAACTGTGTTGGATTCACCTGGGTAAGGCAACAACTCACCTTCTACACTACCTCAAGACAACTAAGAAAACATATTACATTCGCGTTTTTCAATGGGTTTGCATGGTGATGTAATCATATGGATAGATATTGTGATACACAATGAGGTTTCTTAACTGGTAATAACAATCACCTCAGTTACAGTAGTTAAAGCAAACTATTGTCTTAATGGGATTAATCTGTATTTGCATGCATTATTTTAGCTTGAAACTGTTTCATTTCAGACTAAAGTTCTTAGAAACTTTTCATTTGTCATTTCTTTTTAAATCAGTAGTTTAAATAATAGGCTTTACCATGTGATTATTTTATATAGGCTATTTAATTACAGGAAAACATGCTATATCGTGATGTGTCTCTACATATAGATAGGAAATAACTAGGCATAGAAGATTTTTTCCAAATAGCCCAGCTCTGATTGAAGACATACAATAGAGTTTGTTGCTGGTTTTGAACAGGCCTCCAGCCCAGCATGTACTGAGTTGGAAATGAATGTGATGGACTGGTTGTGTAAAGCACTGGGACTCCCCTCCTTCTTCCTGCATCACCATCCTGACAGCAGAGGTGGAGGCATACTGCAGGTTTGAGAATACCCTGATCTGATTTTATTCAAACGCCAAACTTGAAAGTATTCTCTGCAGTAACTTTTTAAGTCTCTCTTCTGCCTGAACCTCCTGTTAGAGCACAGTCAGTGAGAGCACACTGGTCACTCTTCTGGCAGCCAGGAAAGACAAAATGTTGCAGCTGCGTCCTGACCTCGAGAAGGACGTGGACGACTCGGTGCTAAATTCAAGACTAGTGGCCTACGCTTCAGATCAGGTCAGTGTCCGTTTTTTCACCTCACCTGCTACTGCGGCAGGTCACTGAACGTTTCCACCGGCTCTCTCTGAAACCTATATTTAATCCCCTTTGAATTGTATCTGACACATAATGTGAGATATGGAATGCATTGTCTAACCTTAATCCCTCATTATTTTGAAATCAAGAATTTCATTGAATAACAAGTTACTTTTCCATAATTCAAGTAGAAATCTGTCTGCCACGGTGGAAGGTGACCTGAAATGTTTACTGCTTTTATAGGCTCATTCCTCGGTTGAGAAGGCAGGTCTGATCTCTCTGGTGAAGATCAGGTTTCTTCCCACTGATGATCAGTTGTCTCTGAGAGGAGACACTTTGAAACAAGCCATACAGGAAGACAGGAGGATGGGACTGGTCCCTTTCATGGTACGTAGACTGAAGGATGGGTGGGTATCATGGGGTGTTTAGGTGGAGATTTAGTGTTTACTAAATTATGTTTACCCTCGATGACCTTTTGTACAGTATGTTTAGGAATACTCACAAGTATTATAAGGGCTTGATTTTTATATAGAGTTGCTTCAACTATCTACACTAATGTGACAGTCATGGGACATTTAAAATAACAGCTACTTTCATGTTTTAAATATATTTTGCTAAAACACTTAGATATGTTTACCTCACTAGAATTTTGATAGAACGACTTCTAGTATTAAAGTAGATCTGTGGATGTATGTATTGAAACCTACAAATATCAAGTGGTATTCTTAAAACATAATTATGTACAATTTGGTTTGATAAAAACCTAGGTTTGTGTTTCAAATACAAAAAAAAACTGACATTGAAACTTTCATCTCATTGGTGGTTTTGTTTTCTCCTGTGTTCAGCTGTGTGCAACTTTGGGAACTACAGGAGTGTGTGCCTTTGACAATCTGTCTGAACTTGGACCAGTCTGTACGTCTTCAAATTCACTCCTAATAATATCTGTATAAAAAAATGTCTGTAAAGTCAAAACATTGAGTTGTCTTTTTGAGATGCGCGTGGACAGTACTTGTATTTTAATCTCTTCTACAGGTGCAGAAGAGGGAGTGTGGCTCCATGTTGATGCCGCGTACGCTGGCTCTGCATACTTCTGTCCTGAGCTGCGCTGGTCCCTGGAGGGCATTGATCTCGCTGACTCCTTTGTCTTCAACCCTTCCAAGTGGATGATGGTTCACTTTGACTGCACAGCTTTCTGGTGAGTAAGAGTGCTAAATACTTGTCTCAGTTCTTCAGAAATAATGGATGAAAAGCATGTTCTTTGTTGGATAATTCGTTTTTATTTTCTATAGCAATAGCAGATTTGTATACTTACATTATAGTGCAAAAGCCCAAATAAGAATCAACTTAATAGTACATTTAATTCAAACTATATGATAGATAAAAAAAAAAATTAATACTAAGTGAAGGATGCTTGTTTATTTGTTAATATGGGTTTACCTTGTTTTCTCAGGGTAAAAGATAAATATAAGCTCCAACAGACGTTCACTGTTGACCCTGTTTACCTCAGACATGAAAACTCACAGGCAGCCACAGACTTCATGGTAACATACTGTCTTGTATCACCTAATTACATTTCTATTTATTATAGTGAATCATTTCATATAAGGAAACCTTGTCTTTCTGTTCAGAATTGGCAAATTCCCCTCAGCCGACGTTTCCGTTCTCTGAAACTTTGGTTTGTTATGCGCTCCTTTGGCCTGAAAAACCTCCAGGCTCATATCAGACATGTAAGTGGCACTCAGTTATTTTAATGCAAATTATTGAAGGAATGAATATCCAATGTAATCAGATTATGAACATGTATTTATGTATGAAATACTAGGACATCCCAAAGCTTTTATTTGTCTTTCAATTATAGGATTTACATGTATATTTCTGTATTGCATCAGGGGATTGAGATGGCGAAGCTTTTGGAGTCTCACATTAGGAGTGACCCAAATTTCGAAGTTCCCGCTGAGAGGCACCTTGGCCTGGTGGTGTTCTGCCTAAAAGTAGGTGGCACAGATTTAAATTGTCTATGCAGTAAACTTTGTTGAGCAACATGTCTTTGACTTGCTAATCATTGTTGAAAGTAACATCTCATATAAAGGTCAGTTAATTTATAAGGAAATAAAGTCTTTCAAGAGCATGCTAGTCAAGGTCAGAGCAATATAGGAGATCATTAAAAGTGGCAACCTTGAAATTATTTCCTCTAAATGTTTGAGTTTAGTTGAGAGGTTTGGGTTTTTTGGCCTAGCAATATTTATGTATTTTTTATTCTAGGGGGGAAATGCTTTGACACAAGAGCTGCTGAGGAGACTGACGCGGTCAGGCACCATGTACCTGATCCCTGCAGACATTAACACCAAGCGCATCATCAGATTCACGGTGACCTCGCAGTTCACCACCGCAGAGGACATCCTTAAAGACTGGAGCATCATCTCCAAAACAGCTTCCACTCTCCTGGCTGAGACTCAGGCTCTGAACAATGGAGACCAACCAAAATCAGGGAGAGATGAGGTGATGGACGAATACCTCGACTCTGACATGCAGTCTGAGGGGAGCGAGGATGCTGTCTCCTGTCTTGAAAAGGCTGAGGTGGAGCTGTGGATTGACAAGGCCTGGAACAGATCCAGGAGACCAATGCGCTCTCTCAGCTGCAGCAGCGAGCCTCTGCCTTACAGTTGCAGGGGGCCACTGTCTGGCTACGACTTTGATACAAGGCCTAGTTTTAAAGATGATGCAGGCGCCCTCCCTAGCACGCCATCAACAGCAGGATCTGGTCCTATGTTTAAGATTACAGAGGTGCCTTCAAATCTCATGGATAAAAAGGTCCTAAAAAAGCTGACAAAGTTCTACAGCGTGCCCAGTTTCTGCAACCAGTGGGTGCAGTGTGGCCCGCACCAGCTCTGCTGCCCTGTAAAGGTTTCACAGACAACTACAAAAAACGTATCCTCCACCTGCAGAAGAATTAACTGTATGTCTTCTTCTCCTGTTGCTAACACTGCCCCCTCTACCAATCCACTGGAAACCACCACAGCACCTAAGCTTCTATAATGATCCTAAAAGCAGTTAAGTACAGTAGATTAGATACAGACAGTAATTCAGCTGTATTGAGCAATTTACTACTGTTCAGGCCGGGTGCTGTGCCAGCACTTTCAGTTCTTGGCAAATCTAAGATCACTGTATAACCATGTCAATGATTTGGGATTGCTTTACTCGGTACAATCATGTTTTTAATTTTCAATTAAATCCCTTAAAAATATTTCAGTACACAATATTCCCTTCAAGTAGCTCATGAAATGTGCTGTACATAAATGTTCAATGTGAATGCCATTTATCATTATTTGACATCCAGTATCACTTAAAATCTCAAAATCAAATGTATTATTTTGAGGTTCACAATCCAACAATAAACACTGTACTAATTCAGAGCCTGATTTTTCCATCTGTGATGGAGTTGAATATCTGCTGAGTCATGGGTACATAGTTGTTGTTGTCCTCCAGGTAGAACAGATGGTCACTGATGGCAGCCGGGTCAAAGCCCTCCTGTCCCAGCTTCACCTTCATTTGCTTAAACGTCCCAGTAACTACCACTGCATCCTGCCAGACAAACAGAGACATATTCAGACGAATCCATGAATTGTTATGTGTTATAAACGTATTCAGCAAGACTTTCCTTACCTGCAAGCGAACGAAGCGGGGTCTTGCGTAACTGGGGAGGAAGTTTTTGACGTGTTGATAGACAGCTTTGGTGTCAAAGTCCATGTTTTCTTTGAGCTTCACTGCTGCCATTCCAACTCGTCCCTCGTGTCCTTAAAAGTGAAGGAGAAAGTCAAATGACAACTTTAACAGGAGAAGATTATAAATGTCTCTCCGTTTTATAGAAGCACTTAATGGAAACAAATTACAAAAATTGTGTATGATTATTTTGAAATTCTATATAAATATAAATAGTCTAATGAATAAACAATCAAACACATTTAATGATCAGATGCAAGGCTTTAACTAACATTTCGTTTTTAGGAGTTACAGATTTTCAGCACCATAAATCCTTACTAACAAAGTGATTCTTACCTGGCACCTTCACACCATAGACATTAGCCTCCTCGACAAAGTCCAACATCAGCAAATGATCGGCCACCTCTGTCGTTGCTACATTTTCGCCTTTCCATCTTTATTCAGGGTCAATAAAACAAAGACAGTAAATGCATAACTTGACTGCTATGTTTTCATTTAGCACTGAAAAGTTGGTCATAATTTGCAAACAAACACAGAATTATAAAATTATAATTCAATGATGAATCTGAAATTATATTAGCTAAATTAAATGCTTTATAGGTATTGAATATAATACAATGTAATGTTGTGTCCACATATTTAATTAAGTTTGCAGAAGTAAAATGTAAAAGTTATGATATAATAGTTATTTTCCAACTAATTTACCAAGTCAAACACAGAATGAGTTTGTGAACCTTTTAGGGAGTGACATGTTCTACAAATGTCAACACATCTATTTGATATCTAAAGCTGTTCCTAGATGTTCCATTACCCGCTCAGCTCATCAACTTTGTTCAAACCACTCACCTGAAAGTGTCTCCAATTCGGTCTTGAAAGAAGACAAATCCCTCCTTGTCTATCTTTAGAAGGTCACCACTGTTAAAGTAGAGGTCTCCCTTCACAAACACATCTCTTAGCTTCTTCTTCTCTGTCTGCTGATGGTTCTTGGCGTAGCCACTGAAAGGAGTTCTTTCTTCGATCTTCCCCACAAACAACCCGGTCTCTCCTGTAAGAAGCACAGGATGTTTATTAGTAAGAGCTAGATTTCAAGACTCATAAAAATGCGGTTATCCTCCCCAACGCCTACCCCCCTCCGGGCATACGTCTCCCTACCCCCAGCGCGCGTACCCCGGAGCCACCACACATATAGGTCGTTATCATAAAAGACTACAATAAGATAGTACTTATGAGAAATATAAAGGAGTTACCAATCCTCCCCATATGGTATCCTTACTTTTTTTATATTGTTCTCTATTTTTTTGTTTTTTATTTTTTTGGTGTATAAAAATTCCCCCTCTGACCGCTGTCTTCAACCACCGACCTGATTATGAAAAACGCGGGTGACATATACATATATACATATATATCTCTCTCTCTACGTCATACTTAATTTTACAATCTTTATTCGTACAGAAATATATTTGATGATGAAATAAAAAGAGTGCAAAATAAGAAGGTTAACGTAAAATCTACCCTATATTCATGCGGGAGTATTTTTCATACTGTCCTTCTTTCTCCTCGGGCAGTTTTTAAGTTCCCTAAACAAAGCTTCGGGGTTCCAGTCTTTCTCCAG